CTCCTGTCCATTATTGAGCTTTCGTCCCAGCCCGTGGCTCCCAAGTTCAATTTACAGCATTTGACACACTCCAAGACCAGCGAATGCTGTAATTTACAGTATTTGAAGCGCTCGAAGACCAAAACGCAGCGAGCCACACCTTGACAAAAAAAAAGCCCGAACCACACCTTTGCAAAAAAAACATTCCGCCCTGTAGCCCTTTGTGCAACGCATGCGGCCTGGGGTAGAAAGAACAAACAGATTTGTTGGGATTACCGCCTGCTAGACAAGATCTGTTGTGCCTGGGGCAGCGAAAGGAACGTGGATGGCGAAATTGAGTGGGCAGCTGTGGAGAAGAAGGCCTCTGCATTTTTCTCGCGGGCGGCGGAGTCTGTCGAGCAAGCACTGCGACAACGTTACGTCCATGAGAATGGTCGGATGCTCAGGCGAGGTTGCGCAGATGTCTTCATGCTTGCCATGAGCATGCATCTTACGATGCACCATTCTATGCTCAATAGGTTTGCTGATCTCAGGTGCCATCAAGTGGAAGCAGGTCTTAGGCGGCTTTGCTGAAGTTTACTGGGACAGGTGGCGCTGGTTCATGTGATTTGCCACTTGTTGAGAATCGGCACGGACCTAATAGGCAGTAGTGGTCTCCTGACTATTCTGTGAGCGTGAAAAAGCACAGCACAATGTCAAGGTTCACTTTTGACCGCAGCACGCCGGAACGGGAATAGATTGCTGCAATGCAAAGCCGCTGCAGCAACATACATACGAACACAGGTTTTGGGAGGTTATGTCAGGGCGTACTGTGCACCTGTAGCTATGACCTAGCCCTGAGGTGACACCGCAGTTGCCGGGGCAGCCATGTTGATGGCAGCTTGGCCAGATGAGGGAGGGGTGGGGTTCTCCCAGCTTACCTTCGGCATGTTATGCGGTGGCTGCAGGCAGCATTCAGCACAGAACATGACGAGCTGTGAAAGCCGCTTCTGGAGAGGTTCAGGTTTCTGCCTGTCAGCTCCCTCTGACAGCCCATGAAGGGGCAATAGTTGCGACCGCAAAGGGGCAAGGGATGAAAAGCACGCTTCGCACTTGCACGCCCCAGGTCATGTCTCAGCCGTAAAGTCTGGATCCAGGTTTGAGTGCAGCCTACAAGTGCGTCGGAGCCTCATCTCGTTGCTCAGGGCGTGCCAAAGGGGTCTGAGATGTCGAGGTTGTGATTCTCCTCGGACCAGTGCGAGGCTGCAGAGAAGAGCTACGCAACTTCGCACAGGAAAGAGGTGCGGCTTGCTGGTCACCCGACGATTTTGCCCACACACGCCGGTCTTGGAAAGGTGTGAGCTTCACTGGCGAGGTCTATTTCAGGCCGCTTGCCTGGTGTGATCGGATAACAATCTGACAATTTCACATGGCTTCATGGCCGCGGGGTCGTGAGGCCTGTACATCGTATGCCTGCGCACAAAGAAACGGCAGCAGCTTCGTTGGAACTGCCTGTGACCGATGACTTGTGCTACGGCCTTTGTTGTTTGCATCCAGCGCTGTGTTTGCCAACCGCGGGGGTGAACCGGCTTAGGTGCGAATCACGTGTGCCCACCCCTCTACCCTGAACTGACTCACGAAGATGTGGATTACATTTGCGACATTATGCCGCAGCCCAAGATTTTTTCAAGCGTCTTCAGTGCTTGTCTGAACTTCCCAGGAATGCCTTCACGCAAAAGGAGAACGGCCCGGTTGCGACCGATGAGCCAGTTCATAAGAAGCTCAGAAAAGGCGTCGTGCACGGATCCCTGTGCACGGTGCACGGATCCCTGTGGACCAGCAAGCTGCATTTCTTTATAGTCATGCTTGTGAACCACTCCCACAAGTTTTGCGTCTCACCTCAATGCTCAAATGATCACAGCTGGAGATGTAGATTCCAACCATGACGACTGACTGACAGGAAGCCGACTGTGACGCAGGGTCCAAGTACAGCAGGACTTTGCTTCCTCTGTGCCTCACTATTGTTTGAGCCCGATCATGGCTGCCGTGACGTGGCTTCCGAGCCGACCGAACCTTGCTCAAAAAACAGCGAGTTCGGCCGGACGTCGCGCGTGCGCGCGGGCTTTGCAGACCGCGCCCTGGCGAGGTGGACAGAGTTGTGACTGCTGGTGGCCCAGAAATCCCCAAGGCGCTTTTCCAGCAAGCTTCAAAGCCTTCTCAGCCTCCACGAGGCAGCAGCATCGTGTGCCTTGGCAGCGGCCTCAAGTAATCAGCATCTCTGCTAGGCGCTCCCCTTGTGGGCGGTGTGTTGTTCGCCCTCCAGCGATTGGGCCCAACAAGAAGCAGCACGACGACTCGCAGGTGTGTGGTTCTTCGAAACAACAAACCAGTCAAGCTGTCGCCGCCCAGTTTCTTGCTTTGAATAGCTGAACGTGGGGACTGGCTCCACGACCTTGATGAGACAGTTTTACTTGGTTGAACCGGTCAGGCTCTCTGCAGCTGGATGACGCGCAAGTCGCGATTCGGAGACTGACGCAGGATGAAGTCGTGAAAGGTCAGTTGTAGTGTTCACCCATTGCGAGCTTGGAGGCCCTGCTGCTCAAGGGCGCGAGACTAATTAGCCTCTTTGTGGGCGAAGGAAGTCCTACTGTCAGGTGAAACATTTGCGCGTCAGCTAAGCTAAGTGAGTATGGCAAACTCAGCGGCGCTCATTCGAACCTGCTGTAATGGATGTAGGCATCGTGTCCACTTAGCCTTGGTGTGGCATCTGAACGTTCTAAAGTTCTCAGCTTGCTTGTCCTTGATTGCAGCTTGACTGCTTAGGTACGAAGCCCCCCAGCTTTGCTTTTTCGGGGCCTTGTGTTCACTGTTGCTAACTTGTGTTTCGGGAGATGCAGTGGAGTTTTCAGCCGAACTGGTCGACGTAGCTTGGAGCTGTTTGATCGAGCGCCCACCTGTTTGTTTTGAGACCTAGTCATAGTCACTTAGACGACTCATGTCTTGAATGGAGAGTACTGCGTGCGGTCCCTTCAGCATGTCCAATTTTGTTTTTCACCTGCATAACTAAAGCGCGTCATCGTGGCGCCTTTCATCGGGATATGTAGATGTATAATTAGCCTGTTAGCAGTGCCAAGGACTTGATATTGGAGAAAAGAACAGTTATTTGCTGGTGTGACATGTTCCGGCGCTGGTTCATGTGGGCAATTTGAAGGGGGCTTGTCCTACTAGTTGTGGAAAGCGCAAAGTCACATGTAGTTGTAGAGGTGAGTTGTTGTCCTGATGAGTGGGCTTAGCGTATGATGGCATTGTTGTGAGCGTTTGCGGACTCCCCGCGTGTTGAAGGACTCAGCTGGTTTCACTTGTATAGCGTGCCCTTGCTGCGCAAGACCCTCTGGATGGCATGGCACAGAGGGAGAGAGACATGTTCATTTGCCGCAGCAGCTGTCTTGACATGCAATTGCCAGGGGCGCTGTCGAAGTCATTCATTGTGAAAGGAAGTCAGGGCCTGGGAGTCAGGAAACACGAGGGCGAGAGTTGGGAAACATGCAGAGCAGGAGTGAGGAAACATAAAGGAAGGAGTCGGGAACCAGGGAAACATGCTCTTGTTCGAGCATGCAAAACAGGATGTAAATTTACATGATGTTTTGCACAGGAACGACATCCCTAAAACTCACAAACCATGCATGCTGTACCCTAGACCCTACGTAAACCCTAAGCCCTAGAACCCTGCTAGATGCCCTTAACCCTGAAACCCTCAGACCAGAAGTATCCAAAAGCTTAAAATCACCGCATGAGAAACTATAATCGCTTTGGGTGGGGGGGGGCTAATCTCGTTTTAGGTTCAGCAGGGGGGAAGATTCGTCGGGGTCTCCTCCAAGAGCTGAGGACTTACAAAAGTTCACATTGCAGTTCCATTGTGTGACATAAGGGTCTTAGGATTAGGATGTGGTGGACAGTAATAGTGATTTTAAGGGACAATAAGGAATATATGAGGGTCCTACTATATTCGTATGATACCACTTACAGGGTGGGGGTTCCTCTTAAGTGATAAAGGTTTAGGGATTAAGGTCTAGGGATTAGGACTCCCAAGGGGGTAAAATTCTCCAACAGTTACGACCGTACAGAAGGTCAAAGTGCTGTACCAATATAATGGACAGGAGTTGGGACAGTCTGAAAACCAAGGAGCAGGGTTCAAGGTTACCACCTTACAGTCAAACGCACGCCAATGCAGCTTTCAATACATGAGGGCTCCAGCAGCTACTCAGCTGATTCTTGCGTTTCCCTGGCGGTTCTGGTTGAGATCGTAGTGCAACAGCGAAGAGGTCTTCTCGACAGTGACCTTAGCTTGGGGAGTGCCCGCACATGAACTGTCCACCAAGACGATATTGGGGTAGGAAACATCATGTACATTTACATGACGTCTCGTTCCACATTTCCTGACTCTCGCCTCCGGTCCTTCCCGACTCCACCCTCCCTTTTTTCCCGACTCTAGCCCTCCTTCTTCCCGACTCTGACCCTCCTTATCCCGACTCATGGCGAACGACTCTGCCAACACCCACGTGGTCTACATGCACGAGATTTGTGTAACAAGTATACGTGCACACGTGCATTGAGTCATTCTCTAGCTTGTTGGAATCTACAAGCTCATGTCCGGAGGACCACGAGCTTGAGGTATCTCTCGTCCAGGGCTTATTCCAGCAAAGAGAGTTGCAGGACTCCTTGCATGCATCCCGCTAGCGGCCATTCACGTGGGGAGTGGAGACTCCATGTCCGGTCCTTCTGCAGGATCTGGTGGAAATCTGCGAGGCGCGCCAGGGCTTTCAAGCCAGCATGCAGCGAACATCATCGGGAGACTTCGTGATGGATCAGAGCCTTGGCCTCAAATGCCTCAACGTTTAGACCAGTTGCTTCAAATTTTAGAGCATTCACTGCCATTAGGGCGGCATGTTTGCAGCTTGTCTTTGGCTTGTGTCCGCTTCATCAATCACCCAAGAAATGGGCTTCAACTGTCATTGAGAGTGTCTGTGAAGAGATGTCATGCAGCTTCCCATGATGACATTTGTATACTGGGCAACTTAGGGTTGCGGAACGGGAGACAACAATATCGACTTAGGCTAGCTGATGATAGCTGTCCAAAGGTGAGGTCTGTGCTGTTAGACTAGACTGACACTGCACCCGAATAGCCGTCACAGCTGCATTTTGCCTGTCCCCGGAGCATGCCGATGAGAGGCAAGCAGCAAGAAGCACACCGCTGGCTTCAGTAACGTCACTGCTTGCCCCTGTATCTTTTGGTTTCGATCCTGCTTGGATACATGGCGGGCAAACAAGCAAGCCAACTTAAGTGCCAACAGTGAGCAATTCCGCCTTCAGCATTACCCCTGTCCTTCTCTCGTTCATGATGAAGAAGTGGGAGGCGTAGAATGTTTTCATGGGGCCGTTGCGCGTTTGAGGTAGAGTCAGGCTGGGTGAGGAGAACGACCAAAGAGGAAAGAGATAGCACCCGTCAGACGAATGGAGCTCTCTCGTCGTCTTGCAATAAACGGGAAAGACTGACACCTGCAAATCCAAGCATAGTAGAGACACGCACCTAAACCCACTACCTTGTGGCCTTTCAAATGGAGGGATGCAGCGACACAGCGATTCGCATGTCAGAAACACCATGTTCTCTCTATCAGTTAAAGTCATGCAGATCCAAGGAATAAGGTGGCAAGAAGACAGGAATTCGACAGGTTGGGGTCTGCAATTCCAAGGATGCACGCGGCTCCTCGAACCCAGGCCTGCAGGTCCGTGTCGCCAAGTACACGCCTCCCTGTCGTCTAGCTCCTATTCTTCCGGCGGGCCCTTTCTTTGATCCGCCCCACGCCTTTCTCTAGCCTATAGCGCATACGCCTCTTTTTGTCCGACTCCCGCTCTTCGCTCTTCTGACCCTTCCAGCCAGGCCATTGCGTTCTTTCGATTTCCTCGTTCCAGTCACACCACTGCCGACAGAATACTCTGAGCACCCAGCACTTGTCGAGAAGCAGGCATGATGAAGCTAAGGATGCGCACATCCAGCTCCTGTCCCATGCTATGGCCACTCTTCATGCCTGAAGCATCTTGGCCTGACTCCGATCGAGTTGCAGCCACATTGACATGGAGTCTCAGCCTCGGCCCCTCGGCCATGTTTTCAGGAGCGGCTTGAAGAGCTCCGAAGAACAGACGGAGGCTTGGCGGAAACCGTGGAGCGGGAGCGGACGGCCGTCGTGAAAGCCATGCAAAGGTGTGCACAGGCTGTCCTCATTCAAGTAATGAGTTCAAGTTGGCGCAGCATGACTCCAAATGCCAAATTGCGCCCCTTGAAGGTGATAGGAGTTGATATGGTGCGGCCCTAAACTCAGCAGATACCAGATGATACAGGGTTTGTACAATGTGTCAGCGGCTCTCAGAGCATTTTCTTGCTGCAGGCTAGAGCCGCTGCAGCTCATTCGCTACTCACCCGGACAGCACTCCCGGCTGCACGTGGAAAGTCCCTCTGCAACCGGCAGCTGCTCTGAGCAAGGTACTACAGACCACACATGGACACGCACGAGGAGCCGCAGCGCATGTCTTCATATTCAGGCCACCTGTGGTACTCTGCCGGGGCTGCTGCTGAGACTGGGTGAGTGGGCGTGATCAGCGGCAGTATGCGGCAGTGCAAGGTGAGCAGCGCACGCACACGCTCCTGGTTTTCATGAATGATGTTCCAAAAGAAGATGGAGGTGGACACCTCAGTTTTCCCAACCTGGGACTGCAAGTCCTGCCTCGTGCCGGAGATGCGGTGCTCTGGCCAAACCTTCGAGATGGCAAGCCAGATCCGCAGCCCGGCAGACTAGACAGGGCTACACTGGACACTGCATGCAGGTGGTCCTCGAAGCTCTGAGGCAAGCGCTGCACGAAGGTGTTGCCCCGAACAGCTGTGAAAAAGTTGCTCGGGGCTCGGTCGCTGGAAGCACAACAGTCGACAGTGGCAGAAGAGCATCATAGGCTTGAAACTTTTAATGCAAACAGAGAATTGGGTGCAGTTTGTGATGTGCTATTTAGCTACAGCAGGAAAGGCGTTCAAATGGAAACAGATTTCGCAGATGAACTGTTGCGATCAAATGAGCGAAGTTGAAGCATGCTGCATCCCTTGCTGAACTAGATGAGGGTAGACACATGCATGTGCCCGACAGGAATGTGGGACAGATGTCTGTTCCTTGCCACCATCAAATAGCCCCAGAAGAATGAGTGCAGTTGAAACGACCACGGCTGATTCGGTTTCAGTGCGTTCTCTCTCCAAACGGCCTTCATTTGGTTCCATTGTCCCTCCAGCCACGTGCGGTTGATGGTTGCATTTTTCTCAGAATTCTTTTGGGTGTTTGTTGGAGACTGTTTATCGTTTTGTAGGTCCCGCCTACAATCGCCTACATTCTACCTTTTGTCTTTTTGATTGCTCAACGCTCTCCGTTTGTCTGGTTTTGCTTTCTGTTTGTTACTTTCTGAGTCTATTCCACAATTGATTCGATTGTTTTTTCTGTTTTTGTTTTGAGCTTTTTGCTGTTTGATGTTCGACCTTTGGTTTTGTCTGCTGCGCTGCAAACGATGCCTTTGCCGATTCTTGGGTGGGTTTTTGCTGTCTTCTTTGTGCTTAGTTTGTTGACAGTTTCTGGTTCTTGCTGCTGGCTTGTCTGGGCCATCCATGCTTGAATCATAAAGAATCGTGTGCTCACATTGTTTGCTGTACTGTAAGGGAAGGTTACGCTCATCATTTTGTTTGCGCACAGGAGGGAGGCGGGCTGTGGCATCATGTCATAACCATGTTTGCAGTAAGGGACGGTCAGGCTGATCATTTTGTTTGCAAAGGGGTGGTGCACCCCCTTCCCTTACTCCCCCAACTGCATCCCTCGCCCTGCTTTTTTTGAAGCCATCCATGCTCGCCACAAAAAACATCATGTCATCATATTTGCAGCAAGGGAGGCTTATGCAGATCATTTTGTTTGCGAATGGGAGAGCTGTGCCACCCCCACCCCAAGCTCTGCATGTAGCATCCTTACATGTTCCCTCGAGAGCAGTAAAAACAAAAAAGCCAATCCCAAACACAACAATTATCCAAATAATTCGGGGTTTCCGTCCCATCGGTAGCCTGTCTGAAAACAAAAAGAATCAGTGCTGCAAACGTGTTCTTCTGGTTTGGACGACGAACCTGTTGAATCTGGGTCGTGGCGTGGCTTCCTCCAGCCCTCATGCGCTAGCCGCTCTTGATGTACTGTACAGAGGCATCCGGATGTTCTGAATCCAGGCCCATGTCCGCAGCTGCAACCAATGGTCACTGCAAGATGAAAGTTAGGAGGACGTGGTTGTGAGACAATTGCCTGGTTTTTATCAGGCCGGATGCGAGGACTTTCATCAAATTGGGTTGCACATAGACATGGCATGTATTGCGTGGTCATTGGCGACAGTTTGAATGCAAGTTTTGAGCCGGCGAACGTCGCAAATCCGATGTTCTCTCAGGTCCATGCGCTGAAGGAATGAGAGTACTTGCAAAAAAAACATGTGGTTTGAACAACAGTGGTGCGGTGCAGCCGGTCATGGAGGTCATTGTTGCAGCAGCCAGAAAGTGCCTTGCATCATGTGTATGGGGCACCCGCGGGCATAAGGCCATCAACATTTCCTTTGTGCAGAGGGTAATGACAATTCATCCAGCAAGAAATGGTGTTGGCGTCATGTTGGAATCAGTGAGCTTGGCTTGGCTGCAACCTGCGCTTTCATGGCTTCTGGGTGTGTTCGTGCAACCCGTGTTCAACGGTGGTCGGGTGCGCACCTCAAGAAGTACAGATGCGTGCATCAGGCCATGAATGTATGGGTGGCCGATCAGCCCTTCAGCTTGAAAGCCATCACTGCATGGCAAGAACCTCAACTGTCAGTCTGCAGTCACATAGGCTTGCCTGAAGTTGCGGCATTTTTGATTGGCTTAAGTAAACGCATCGGATTCTGGTGCACCACCAAGGCAGCAGGGTCAGCAGAGATGCCAAGAGCAGCCGGCTAGCGCTGCGTCATCCACGTGGTTAGACTAAGCTTCGGCTAGAAAAAAGATTGGCTAGCATGGCCCCATGGCGCCAATAGAGCCGAGTCAAGTTTGTTGATTCATTTGGCCCCCGCAGGTAGACCTTGTCAGCTATGACATCGAAGCAAGTGCCCCAGAGCAGACAGCTCCTGAGGTTCTGCGGGGCTCGAGTCCGTGAGTCAGAATTGCAGCAAGCTCCCTTTACAGGTCATTGCCTTTGTCTCAGATGGAGCCGGGCCCTTGACATCAGCTGAATTGGAGCGTATAAAAGTTTTTCGACGGACACAGTACGACCAGAACCCACTGTCAACAGCATCAGTCACCGCTGCGGGGAGACTTCTTCTCAGTCTGACATGAGGTGGACGAGTTGGCAGTGGCGGCTGGTGCCCAGCGGGCTGGTTTAGTGGGAAAGCATGAAGAGCTGCTGGGGGCAGAGCTGAAGGAAGCTGAAGTTCAGCTGAAGCAACGCTGGTGCCGTTTGTAAGGCTGGTGCTGGGACTACGCACACCGAGCACAAAGTGCCGTCAGGTGACACTAGCAGTTCAGAAGGCAAGAGCTTCGGTGTCAGCACGTACTTTGGGCCGGCATTCTGAGTTGTGGTGAGGACTTTGACCACAGTACCCTAGCATTAATTCACGGGGACAGGGAGACTTGCTGTCTCGCGCCGACGACACAGTGGCCCTCTGCATTGCACAGATGGCATCCTCAGTCCTCCATCGAGGCCTCCCCATGCTGCACAGCAGGAATGTTGAAACCAGCATGTGCGGCCAAATTATGCTTGAGCCATTGGCTTCTACGTGCCTTTACGAGGGCCGTGCCACCAATGTAGAAAGCACACTTACACATGCAAGTGGAATCAAAGTCGTAAGCCGCAAGCATTTACACGCAAGACCTCGTACGTTTGTGGTCACTTCGGTCCACCATGGAACAGCTTTTCACATGCGCATGCCATTGCATGCAATGGTGGCAGCTGCTATCTTAGCTGTATCTGACATATGTAGCCGTGACGGGGCCAGTTTAGTTAGCCGTGATGGGCCATGGAGACTTGTTGCGTTGCTCACGTGGGCCACATTCAGTTTCCTAGCTTCAAATACGCATGCTGCGTGATGGGCCTCAGTCAGCCCCGATGGTGTGCTCTGCTGCGTACAGCTGAGGACCATACCTGAGATGTCGGTTGACCAGTCTGAGAGAAGTGACGAAGGCCCAGCACCTGGCACATCTGGCAGAGTGAAGCAGCTTGACGTGCACGTATTTGGTTGGGCTTGGCAAGGCCTAATCGCAGATGAGATGTTGATGTGGCCTTTGCAGCCTGTCAGCTGCGAAGCCACTTCCCGGCAGCAGGAACTGGAACAGGTAGGTCCAGATAGGTCAACAGCAGAAGGTCGAAGCTGGACAGAAACAAATTTCCCAAAGTTGGTGCGGGGTGCTCAGGCCAAATGCAATCCAATCATCAACAGGTAGAACGGCAAATCCATTCATGCTCACTCTAGAGTTATGTTGGAAGCCGCATGCCAGCTATCCCGTCAACTTTGTTGAGAGAGGGCGCATTGTAAGACAGTTGAGGACCATTTACCTCCAGTTCATGGCCAGCTTAGCCGGCGGAGCCAAAAGCCTGCAATGCACGCAGGCAAGCTGACAATGTCCTTGCTTCATGGAGGTTCCAAGTAGAGTCCCATTATGAACAGAAATTATGTGCTTCAGGCAACGCGTGGAACCTGCTACCTTCAGTGGGGACCTGGCTGCTGCCCTTGCCCTGCAAGCTTGTCCCATGGCTGGCTGATTGGCTACTTCCCACGGCATCCCGAAATTGTGATTTATCGTTTCGTTTTGCTGCAACAGAACGGCATAGGAGTAGTGGGAACACTGAGCTCAGCCCCAACAGCGACAAGCATGTCGACTGGCAGTGTTTGGTGATCAGATAAAGCAACGGAAATCGCATGTTCGTGCAGGCCACGCCGGGGAGAGCATGTGCCACAGCAAGTCCATCTGTATGTTGCAAGCTGCAGGCCGCATGCAACGTTGAGTTGTCAAAGGCCAGCAGCGATCTTAAGCTCCCTGGCACATTTGCAAGGAGCGGCCTGCAGCACTTGCAGCGCCACTGCTGATGGCAAAGGCCAGCTGAGATTATGCAGCAACGGCTTTGAGCATGCATGCTGGATGGAGGCAGAAATGCGGAGAGGTGAGTACACTCCGTGGGCGAAATGCGAGATACGTCTCCACCACGATCGTCCCAGGGTCGATTATAGAAACCAGTTCCGTTCAAGGTATAAACACCAGTTCCATTCAAGGTCATGGATACGTACTGTCATGTCCTTTGGATCCACAGCAACTTGAGGGCCAGGCGTCGTAGCAGCTTTATGCCAAAATGCGTATTGATCTTGAGGCTAGCTGCATGTTCCGAGAAGGTGGGCATATGCATCCGCCTGATTATAGTGATTTCTTGACCTCATGCAAGCATCGACGGCGTCCTCATCAAACAACTATCCTTACTGATATTGCTGGGCAGCAGAATGTTCCCCCCACTTGGCCCGTTTCAATGCGCTGTGCTTGAACGACCCTGTGCCAAACCTCTTTCGTCTTCATGCCCCCATCTATCTTACAAACATATTTGCTAAATGTTGCTAACAAATCTACAAGTACGTTGCGCAATTTAATGCTCCTGGGAAGCATGCATGTTCCTTCATGTTTCCTTAATTTGGGGCTCATCTGTCCCCAAGCCCAACTACTTTGCGTGGTGCTTCGGAGTATGCTACGGAAGTTGCACGCGTCCACAGCTTACAGTGCAAATTGGGCTCTAACTCAGCCTACAGCCACTCACGTCATGCTGGCACTACACATTCATGGTTCTCCACGTGCTTCAGGACAGTAGGATGCACAGACTTGCCTCCCCACTCAACTGCAGAGTCCTTGTTGGCGGCATGACTACACTTAGCACCGCTATGATTGAATTGAAGTCGCTGCTACTTTTCAGAGCGGATGTTGAGCTTGAGATTTGTCGCAGCTAATCGATGATTCTCAAATGTCATCACGTGTTCATTGCACAAGCAGCCGCCTCGGTTTTGATGTTGCTTTACGTGATTCGTCCAGAAGCCGTGCATTGCGCCTGCAAGGTTTGATAATTCTGGAAGAAGGAGAAGAAAGTGCTCCAAAGGCTTGCTGGATCCATGGCTGGATTCGCAAGAACCCAGATGACATCCTGCTATTCCATTTTGGCCTACAGGTGGCAGTGGAGCAGTGGCTTCATGAGCCATTGGACATGGCCCTAAGAGTTTCCGCTAGTGTGGTGTCAAGTGCATTTGATAAGCGCCTGAGGTTGTGGATGATGTGGATGGGAGGGCACTCCTCCTTTCCTCGGCCTCCTCGGCCGAGGCTGCGGCATCGTTAGGGCATTGCTTCCTTGGCTTTTTGTCCCGGCAAGGTGCGATGCAGGCATCCAACTGACGCGTCTCACGTCGCTGGTGCAGCACGGTCTGCGGCTGACAGGCAAGGTTCATGCCTCCCATACTGTAAAGTTGCAAGGGGCGTCATTATTCGGATTAGGGCAGGTAAGAGTCGCGCGCAGTCGGAGAGGCTGACAGCGCAAGTTCGAGATCGCAAGTGGGCTTTCGTGCACCTGAACATCTATGTGCCATGGCCAAGGTAGTAGGGGGAGTCAGACGGTTGACCACTTGCCGATCAAAAGTTGAGGACCTTTTCAACTGGCAGATGGGCATCTTTAATCGCGTCGCATGGCTGGTTGGAGCTGGCGGTGCCTACCATGCGGGTTTGGAAGTCTACGGTGTAGAGTACGCGTTTGGAGGCCGTACGTAGCTAGCTTGTGCATTCCAAGTGGTACAGGGCTGAGAGTGACTTATTTGCACATGGACAGGCACGGAGACTGGAATTGGCGAAAGCGGGTGTCCAGGCTATGTTGAAGTGAAGATAAGGGTTTGTGAGGTGCCGTGGACAGCTGCAAGCACATGTCAGCCTGTAAGTGGCAGCTTAATGCGTGCTGAGTCTTATGGAGGCGCATGTGATGCATGATCAAGGATCACCGCCTGCACGCCCAGATCGTGTCACAAGCATTCATTCAGCGAGAGCCTTTGCCTTGGCGTGACAACCATATCAGCAGAGGCGAGTTCCCTTGGCTACATTTAGCTGCTGCTTCCTGTTGCCTATTTCCATTTGTCACTTTCCGAAGCAGGAAGTTGACGACCTAATTGCGGAATTAGTGCCCGACTGGTCAACGCAGGATCAGCGCTGCACTTGTTTCAGAAACGGCTTGACCTCAGCTTATCAGTGGAGCCTAGCGCTCCTTGACTTGAGGACTACGAGATGCTGGGTCCAAATTGCATCACCTTCTGCCGGTATCTGAGCCGACGCCTCTAACCTGCATCAGAAAGAAATGGGAGTTGTAATTGCTCAGCCTGAAATGTTTGAGCCCTTGAGCTGTCATCTTGTCATCTGTCACAGGTTGGTTTGATCACCTTCATTCGTACTTCTGTGCACGGTGGCATGACCTCGCAACTACCTCTTTCGTGTGCTTGCAGAGACTACGATTTTGTTTTCGAGCTGAGGACTTGGTGTGGCTGAGGTGCCGGACTGGGTGGACTGCATGGCTAGAATCATCAAAGTCGAAAGCCCAGTTGCAGTTAGACGGCTTGCGGGATAGGTGCTTTGCAAGCTCTGGCGCCTGACAAGATTTTTTCCTGCAACAAGCAGGCTGCCGTAGCTCAGGAACGCAACGTGATAGTGGATCCTCACGGGAGTTTGCCCATCCATGGCAGAGGTTGTTGCCCGAAGCAGCATTTGTGCAGACTGCCGCTCGCCAGAACCGTGCAGATTTATCTGGTCAACGTAGACATCATCCGCATGTTGCAAGAAAAAAGACTATTGAGGCAATCACAGGGCTTCCTGGCAGGGTTCGTGGAGGTGGTGGCTTGCAGCGCGTGCGAGTCCGAAGCATGGAAAGATATTCAAGAGAGAAGTAAATTCTTGAAAGAGCTTGGAAAACAGTAAGCGTTTTTTTCCGTTTCGTAGCCCTTTGGAGCGAAGAACGGTTTGCCCCCAGGACATTCCGCCGGGTCTTGAGCACTGGCACTGCATGGACTGTGACGAGAGCTACTGTCTGAGATGTTTAGCTTAACGGCTTGCGACCGGTGAACCATGAGCGGTCTCAGTTTTTCCAAAGCTGCAGCCAAAGCTGGACAGCGAATTTGTTTGCAGACATATATACCCCAACTCGTCTTTTCACAAATCACTGCTGGTGCTCAGCTGTCTGATGGTGCCCGTTTCGGCCCGTAAGGTCTGTTTGGAGTCTGTACTTGCAACAGTCTAGCCTGGGCAATGCGTCTTTGAAAGTCAAGGAACCTGTGGGCAAATTCCAAGCAGCATGGCGCCAGAGATGCCTGGTAGAATTCTGTCAAAACCAGCGGTCAGGGATGTCCATTTCGGCTCAGAAAAGCATCGCCGCAAAATGTCATGTGGCGTGTGCTGTTCCATTCCTTGACTGCGGAGTCAGGTGGTCCGGGCAAGGCTTTGATGGCGCGGATATCTCAGAATGCCCAAACTAATGATGCCATGTTTTGCTATGCTCGAAGCCACCTTCATAGACACAATGAATGTTTGCGAGGCTCGACCCAATGTGTGGTGTCGGTTCCCTGCCGAGTCTGTGCGGCTGCTTTTCAAAAGGGGCCTGAAGGAGGAAGCTACCGGCCTGTGAGGCACCTACCTTTTCGCCTTGCAGTGGGCCTTGGCTCGCTGGCGACTGAGATTCGATGTTGACAACAGTCCCCTACCATTCCAGCCAGCTTCTCTGTAGCTTGGGCCCTGAGGCCTCCCTTCTCATGCTAAGGTGAGAGTATCTCTGCAGAGCTGCTCGGTGTGCCCAGCTCAGTTGCGGATACTTGTGGGACGATTTGTGTCTTCTCGCAGTCATGGCGCAGGTGGATGCTGAATTGGAAAGCCTTGCGCATGCCAGGGCCAACACTTCAAGACAAGGTGCATGGCCCAAGAGTGTTGGAAAGCGTTGGGCAAAGTAGGCAGAGGGGCAAAGGCTAAGACCCCACCCACCAGCAAGGAAGCAATAAGTTCAGGAGCCGCAGACTTGAGACCATCGCACAGAAATTCGGAGTTGCTGCAGTTCTGCTGCAGACCGTGTCTCCCATCAGCTGTGCTTTCATGATGATTGAATGACAGGCCACGGGTCCCTAAACCCCCTCCACCCCCGAAGCCTAAATGTGAGGCTCCTTGCTGAAGTCTGAAAAACTTTGCTGTTAAAGGAAAAAGAAATTGAAGACTTCAGGCCAGCGTCTGATGCAGCCGCAGTTCCTTGCCGGGCGCCTGCCCAAAGAGACAGAGCTGACAGCAGAGCCGACAGCAGAGCCGAATGCGGTGGGCTGTGTTTTGGTCACGCCCTGGCAACAGTTCCCTGTTGTCTCTGCAGCCGTTCAAGCGTTCAAGCTTTCAAGCTCATGCAAGTCAAAGTGCAAGTGCTCTTCTGAAGCAGACAGAACCTTCCCGTTGTGGCGCTGGTGGCCAGTCCAGCTCGTTGCCATGGCTCGCGTGTGGGATTTCTCTGCAAGCTTCGAGCCGAAAATCGTTGCTACTGCAATGGCGCGTATATGGAATCGCGGTTCCGCAATAGCTTTGTTGAAGCAGGTGCAGGATGTTCTGCTGAATTCGTTGCCGTGCTGTCAGCGGGTGGTCACCTAAGGAAGCTTGACGGCTGGAAGTAGCTGGGCTTTTGAACTCCAGAAGAGTCCAGAGATGAAGCTGACATAAAGTGTTAAGAGGATGGACTTGGCATCAGGTTTACCACAGTCTTGGATGCCAACAGTCGGCCAGTCGATCATTGCCCAATTTCCCTGGAGCCGATGGACGACCCCGTTCTTGTCTGCGACGGCCACATTTATGACCGAAATTCCATTACTCAATGGATTGCAGAGGGAAACAAGCCCCTCATCTCAACGTGCCCAGGTCAGGTCTACAGTTAATGAGTGATGCAGGTTTGTCCCCAATGCTGAGGCTATCGCCGTGTGTTGGCGAGGACCTGGCACACACCAAGCTGCTGAGAATCCAGCCATTTCGCATCGCGATCGAGCGTTTCCTCAGGCAAGGCTGGCTGATGCTGGCTGCCAGCCGCTGCTAGCCACCGCTAGCCATTGCAACCTCTTGTGTCAAGACCTTGCGGAATCGCAAATGCAGGCAGCGGGGCTCCGTGGGTACCTCCGCGGAGCAGGCTGCTGCCCAGGACGGCAGTGACTTGCTTCACAAGTTTGGGGTGCTGCACGTGCTGCTCAGAGCTGGCTATGATCCTGATGTTGCTTGCGGTAATGCCGGTCAACCTGAACATGATCTGCGCTGTGAAGTGCTCTGAGGAATGAAGCGCATACAGACTCATGCTGCCGTTGCGGGTTTGATGCATGCAAAGCTGCACCGAAGAGCTCAAAGGCAGTCTTTAGATGCCCTGCAAGTTGAAGCCACCCTTTCCTTCATGTTCCGCACTTGGCACAGGGCAAAGGCAAAGCAAAAGGACAAGTCAGCTGACCGGTCTTTACATGCCGGACGCTTTGCACTGAACGCTACCTGGCACGCATCTTTGGACACTGCAGGTGGTCTGAGCTACATTTTGCTTGCAAGGGCTGCCGATTGATGTAAGGCCTTGGAGAGCTCAGTTCAAGAAAGCGAAGTTCTTCGGCTTTAGTCCATTTCTTTGAGTCTGCTTGTAGCACAGTTGCGAAGTGAATCGCGAAGCATCATGTGGAAAGCCGAGGCGCAACTTGCGCAGCTGCAGGCTGCAGTGAGCCAGGGCTGCTCTTGGCGCTGAGAGTGGGTGCACGGTTGTCCCAAGAAACCTTCTCATGCCACCGTGCATCTCAGGAACGAGGGGCGGCGTGAACTTGAAAAGCTTCGGAGCAATCTTCAGGAAACAGCTCTGGTCCTGCTGCAGCGCTTTCTACTTCGGAAACACTTACAACCACGCAGAGAGAAGGCAGCGACCAATTTGCAGAGGCAAGGTGCTTAGTGGAAGCTTTCCTCGGTGGCTGCCTGTTGCCTGTTACCCCCTGACAGGTTTTTCCGGAAACAGCTAAAGCTGCGAGCATGGAGATTCAGAGCTGAGAAGCTGGCATCGCACTATGCGAAGGCATTGGCAGCTGGCAATGAGGAGCTTGTGCAGCGCTTCCAGTCCAAGGGCGTGACACAGTTGCATTCTGTGATAAATACGCCGTTGCAACATTTGTCACCTGCAGCTGAGGACGTGGACTACCAGCTCGTGCTCAGATGCCTGAGGGAATCGGAAGATGTCAATCGGAAGCTGGGTACAGGAATGACTCCGCTCTTTGAGGCTGCACAAGCAGGCCAGAGAATAGAGCCAAGAAAGCCGGCCCGTTCCATAAGTGAAGTGTCTTCTTGATGCATTTTTTGGAGGTCACACGATAAGCGCGCGGCTTTTGCTGAAAGCTGGGGCAGACAAGGCCTACCTTTGGCTGAAGCAGCCCAAGAAATTCTTTCAATGCAAGCAGTGCCGGCGAGGGCTTGCTGGAAGTAGCATCTTTGTTTGGTGCAGGACAATGCAACAGAACCACCTGATGCAGCGGCGCAGCAGAACGCCACCCCCATGTCAAACTTGTATGCCACCCCCTTGTACGCTGCTTCCTTGTGAGCTTTGGTTGCACAAGTGTTTTTTCACAGAAGTCCGTACATGGTCATTGCTTTCCTCGTTCTCATCCTTGAGGTGCCCATGTTGGAGTCGTGAACGTCTTGTGCGAAGCGCGCTGCCTCGTTGACAAGGGGTCCCCTGCCACTGGATGCACGCCGTTGTTTATAGCAACTGAAGCAGGACACATGAACATAGCACATATTCTTTGCGCCGCACGGGCAGACGTAAATCGCCCGTCGAATGCCGGACTTGTTCCTTTGCATGCTGCGGCCAAAAGTGGAAACACGGACATGCTCCACCTTCTCTTCAGATCTCGTGCAGAACCAGACCCAGCGACAAGAAGGCTTGTAGAGCCCCAGATTGAAGCAGGGAGCACACCCCTTTGCCTGGCTGCAAGGAATGGGCACGTTCAAAGTGTTCAGCTGTTGTGCAAGGCAAGAGCTGATGCAAATCATGCGCTGCCCAGCGGGAGTACGCCCTTGTATATGGCTGCGAAAGGCGGCCAATCAGAGGTTCTGAAGCTATTTCTCAAAGAAGGAGCACATCTCAATGCCAGGCTTTCCATTGATCCAGGTTTTACACCGTTGTTGGCCGCATCATCACTTGGCCAGACGGTATGCGTCCAGATACTCTGTGATGCAAAGGCCGACTTAGACATCTCATCATCTGGAGATCTGTCCGATGCAACAGCTGTATACCTTGCTTCAGCCAAAGGGTTTGTCGATGTGGTCAGGATACTTTGCAAGGCAGGAGCTGACCTGAACAAGACACCCGTGAACGGTGCCACAGCACTGTACATGGCTGCTCTGAACGGACATGCTGATGTTGTCCGAAATCTGTGCTCGGCCAAGGCAGACTTGGACAAAGCATGTACCAGCAGTGGCAGCAGAACGCCCCTCTTTGTAGCCGCAAAACATGGACACCTCGAGATTGTCAAGATGCTGTGCCTGGCTCGCTGTAACGTGCAGAAACCATCCTCAAATGGAAATACACCGCTGCATGCAGCAGCTGCAGCCGGACACGTTGAGCTTATGGACCGGCTTCTCAAGAGCCGGGCGGATCTGACCCGCGAAACAAACATTGGTGCCACGGCACTGCACCTTGCATCCTTGAGCAACAAGCCCGAGGCTGTGCGCTTTTTGTGCCAGGCCCGTGCAGACAAGCATGCCAGTGCTGTGAGGCCTGGGAGCACACCACTGATGATGGCAGTGCTTTGTGGGCACTTTGAGGTCGTTGACGTGCTTTGCGAGGACGATCCAAAGCGACAGGCAAAGATGCTAAAGCAGACATCGCTCCTGCTGCACATCGCTGCGCGTAATGGTCACGAGGGGATCGTTTGGCGCCTCTGCAAGTGTGGCGCAAATGTCAACGAAATGGTAACGCAGGAGGCCCTTGACCAACTGCACGAATCTGCGCAGCCCGCGCTTGAAGATGGGGTCGAGGCAGACATGAAGAGGGAGGAGCTGGAGGAGCCAGAGTATTCACGGGTCATGAGTGCCGAAGAAGCAAGAATGAGAGAGATACTAGCAGAGGCGACAGCGAGCATGGTGCCCGACCCTGATGAAGATGTTCCAGTTGAGGTGGGTGTTCTGGAGAAAGAAACTTTAGTCTAGTCCTTTGCTTGTCAACCATCGAACAGTTGAGACCTTGTGAATCAAGCCGTCTCTCTTCGGCATGCTTAGCGCTTAGCATGTGCAGGTTGAACTGGAACGAGAGCGCCCAGAATGCTCCCTTCATGTTGGCGCCACGCCTTTGTTCATGGCTGCGCTGTTTGGGCGCTTTGAAGCTGTCAAGGTCCTCTATGAAGCCGGCGCTCAGATTGACAAAACCGGTGCAAAAGACGGGGCCACACCCTTCATTGTAGCAGCGCAACAGGGACATCTAGAAGTGGTCACGTATTTGCTAGAACTTCGAGCTGATGTCAACCGACGCTTGACGGACATGGGTGCGACTGCAATCTATCTTGCTGCGGAAAGTGGGCAAAGAGAAATTGTGAATTTTCTTTGCAAACACCGCGCTGATCTGAATCAGCCCACAAGTGACCTTGAACAGCCTCCACTGTTGGCAGCAGCTTTGCACAATCACTTTGACATTGTCTACATGCTGTGTGCATCCAGGGCAGACCTGGACCAAGTCAGGGGGGATGCTTCGCGCGACACCACACTCACACTCGCAGCTGAGTACGGCTTCCATCAGACTTGTCGCATTCTGCTCGAGGCGAAAGCCAACGCGAACAAAGCTGCTGGCTCGGGCTCAGCTCCGCTTCTTTTGGCAGCAGAACATGGCCATGAAAATCTTGTCCAGCTGCTATGCGCGGCAAGGGCTGATCCAAATCAAGGCTTGACAACCTCTGAAGGCATAGCACCTCTGCCAGTTGCAGCCAGAAGAGGGTTTCTTTTGATTGTCGAGCATTTGCTGCGAGCTCGCGCGGACCCCAACCTGAAGTGCTTCCCTGCCCGTTTGTCTGCACTCATGCTGGCCACTGAGACTGCAAACGCGTGCTTGGGACATACGCTTTCAACAATGCCTGACATGCATTTTGAGTCCGATGTTGGATCGCCTGTGTTGTTCGTTGCTATACTGAACCATCGCCTGGAGGTGGTGAGGATGTTGTGCCGATATAGGGCAGACCCGAACAGGTGTGCTGATGATTATGCAACACCGCTGCTCTGTGCAGCAAAGACGGGCGTAATCCAATCAGTGCGGATTCTTTGTGATGCCCGTGCAGACATCAACTTCGCACGTGCGCCGCAAATCGCACCGCTCCACTGGGCAGCATGCCAGGGGCAGGCTGAGATTGTGGAATACTTATGTCATCAGACGGCTGACGTAAACAAGGAGGCTCATGATGGAACTTTTCCATTGTACTCGGCTGTGGCCACAGATGAACTTGAAAGCTGCAACACTACCGTCAGACTTCTCCGAGCTCGGGCTGATTACAACAAGTGCACGAAAGAGGGAGCTACGGCTTTGATTGCTGCAGTTGAACATCACCAAGTCAAGGCAGCCCGCTACCTCTTGGATGTTGGTGCCAATGTTGAGGCCTCGACTGCGAAGGGCACAACTGCACTTCTCATGGCGATGGAGGTGGCTGCTGGCTTGGACATGTTGGAGCTCCTGCTCGAGAAGAGGTCTTCGGTCCAACGAGAGAACTTTGATTTTGGAGCAGCAGCGCTGCACATCGCAGCTTCTGGAGGACACGTAACTTTAGTGCAGCGGCTGCTGCAGCAAAGAGGACAGGTCGATCACGTTTCAGCCAAGGGTCACACACCACTCCACTTTGCTTGCTGGTGGAATCATCCTGAGGTCGTGAGCTTGCTCCTGAGCGCCAGAGCTGACAAACATGCGTGTGTTTGCAACAAGCCAGGGGTTGATGCCTTCCTTATGGCTGTCCTTCAAGATAATCCAGCAGTGATGCAAATCCTGTGCGAAGATCTCGAACAGCTACAAAGCCGCAAGCTTGGCAGCATGCTCCTGCACGTGGCAGCCAGAAACGGACAGTCGAAGGTTGCTGAGCATCTCTATGACCTACGCTGTGATGTGAACAAAGTCATTCACCACCAAGATATCGTGGACCTTGGCTCAGCAGCACGGGCTGCTCAGTGCCTACACCCGTGCAACTCAGCGACGAGCTCTCGTGAAGCTTTTGAAGAAGATGGGGACTCTGACGGCCAGGAAGACGATGACATTGATGAAGATGTGATACAAGGAGGTGACGAGGTTGATGCCGGCTATGCGGCCAGTAATGTCGCAGAGGTTGATTTGGAGGCCGGTACCACCCCGCTGTACCTAGCAGCTTTCCATGGCCATGACGACATGGTATACAGTCTGCTTCGCCAAAGGGCTGATCCCGACTTGGCTGCTGAGAGTGGATGTACTCCTCTCATGGCCGCAGCTAAGGAGGGCTTCTTGGACGTGGTACGGTCGCTCTGTGAAAGCGACAGGCATCCCAATTTGAACTATGCGGACTGTCATGGGAGGACGGCAATTTTCATGGCGGCAGAAGAGGCGCGCACCGACATCGTCGCCGAGCTCTGCAGAGCAAGAGCTAATGTGAACAGCGGCCCTAGAGACCAGGAGTGGCAATTCACTCCTCTCGACATGGCGTTGAGTGGGAACTGCCCAGAGATGTTGGATATTCTTTGCGATGCTGGTTGTGACCTCGAGAGGATAGAGGAAAGCATTCGCCGTCTTCAGAAGCTTTCATTAGTTCGGTAATGCTGTTGAAATCTGTCAGATTGTAAGCAGACGCTAGACTGTAAAATGATTCGATATGTTGCAAGATAATGCAGATATGGTGCAGTGCAGGCTCGTCGATGAGTTGCGGACACATGCAGATGAATGAGCCTGCGCAGAGGCCTCATCAAATTCACAGGGTGAGAGCGAGAGAGAGAGAGTAATTTGGGCTACCATGACTATGAGGCATGGAGGGGTGGAGTCCACAAAGTTGGCCCAACAGGGGCTGGGCATTGAAGCCCGCGTGGGCCTCCGGGCCTGCGCATAGCCCTCAAGAAAGAAAGTCGGAGAGCGTGTCCTTCAGCAAGCCTTTACGAACCTTTCTTGGTGTGCAGCTACCCTGCGCTGTGGCGTAGCCCACGCGCAGTCCTCGGACTGCGTTTGGCGCATAGGAGAAGAGTGGGAGAGAGATTGGCTGCTGCAGCCGCTGCCCAGCCAGGGCCCCTGAAGCCTCATTGTGCAAACCTGTAAGTGCCCGTAGAGTTGCGCCCGCTGTGCCTGCACTGTACCAGTGTACCTCCAACGGACGGCTCGCCGAACTTTTGCCTTGAGCCCTTCCGCGGGGGGAACACTTCGACCCACTTTGCGCCTTCCTCTGCAACGCTGCCCGGGAGAACATAGTAAAGGACAGTCTTGCACGGTGTCTTTGCTGGGATGAGTGGCGTGCTTGGGCGTGACCTGAGAGCGACCGCTAATGAGGAGATGCGGCAAGCTGCAGCGACTCCGTTGCCGGGACCCATGAACTGGACGTGGATGACCTTTGCAGCCATGGGCAACCAGTCCCCGCCCAAGAAAACGAGATGGGATGTGCCGGCCACAGGCATCACACAAGCCCTTGCACCTCGCGCCGAAGGCATGATGGACATTCAGAAGTGCATGACAAGCATCAAAGGTGAGTTCACGGATAAGGTGGGCTCAGCACTGGACCTCAGCAGGACTGTGGACAAACGTCAGCAGGCAATGGGTGACCAACTGAAGCACATCCAGGAAAGAGTGGAGACCCAGGGCCTTCAGAGCCAAGAGCAGGAGCGCGCCATCAAGGTGAGCGCCTGGAGAACGAGAGAACTCCAGGGCCAGGGATGTGGAGAAGTGCAGGAATACCAGGAGACGAAGATGAGCGAGGGCCAGCGGTCATCCTTGGCGGCTGGAGCCCGGATACCGAGGCAGAGGAAACCAAGCACTTCGTCCGAGAGCGAGAGCGCTGCTACTGCCCATGGAAGAGTCCTTTGGAGGGCGAGAGCACACAAGCTATGACGCGCCGTGCCAGTGGTGCTGTGGAAGCCACTCGGAAGCTCCGAGCTGCCTCTGGTCATCAGGACGCCCAGGGGAAGAGTATGTTGGTCTGGGCGGCGGTGTCACAGCCTCCTGAGGTTAGGCGCCTCAAGGCGGATGGTGTCAGAGCTGACTACAAGAAGGGTACGGTCACGGTTCAGGGGAAGAAAGTGACCTACAATTCATGACGGGCTGGGAAGGCGGATCACCGGTGCAATTTTGTCGGGGGCGAGTGGGGGATGCCGCAGTTGAAGAGTGGGGCAGACCATGCTTCGCAGAGTGCACAAGCTGTTGAGTCTGTCAGAGTGCAGCGTGAACGGCTCAGCAAACAATCTTCAGGGATTGGGTCCACCGCCAGAGGCGACCTCCGGCCCAGACACAACAACAGGGAAAGGTGAGGCAAAGCCACACTGTGCCAGGGCCAAGCCGCGACTTCGAGCCGGCCGCGACAAGACCAAAAGGTGGGACACACGCAGCAGGGAAAGCAGGGGCCGCAGCAAGCGTGAGAAGAGGAGAGAATACCGCAGCGTTGACGTCAATGTGGATAAAGGCACTCACTACCTCAAAGCAGAAGTCTCAGGAATAAAGTGGACGATTGTTGCTGCAAAGGAAGAGGGAGAATGGAGAGGGAGAGCTACGGCAGTCCGAAGATGGGAGTCATTAAGCACCGACAACTCAGCAACAACGGCCTAGGGATCTGCGGCTACACACCCGCAGGAGACGTGGGGGTTCTCAATGTCGACCTACCGCCCAGATTCACGTTGAATGAGACAGGCAAGCAATTGGATGAGTGGGGCAGAACATACGCCATGAAAGAGCCCAAGGTCATTCTCCTAAAACCTTCAACGAGACCTTTTCCGACCCGAGCAGGACAGGCAGTTGGGGCACAGCACCGCCAGGGGGGCAATACTCACACAATGGTTCAGCGAGGCAACTACAATCCCCCTTCACCAGCCCAGTTGCTGGGAAGCGCCTCTTCCTCCCGCACACTTTTCGGGAAAGCAGGATCTGGAGATTGGTTTGCCCGGGGCCGTTTCTTCCTCTCCAGCTGCTGGGTCATCCTCCTGAAAAGTAATCTCCGCGATCTTTGGCTCCAGGATGTGGCTTTCTAGAAAGCCTTCCAGACGCCTGGGCTACATCCTCACGAGACGTCACGGGTATAAGGGTAGTCCACCTCAGGCGCGTGGTGGCCAGTGATGCGACAGGCCTCTCAGGCAAAGCGCAGCATCGACGCACAGGATGGGATGCACACGGAGGACCGAGACAGCTGTTGGGGAAACCGCCGTCAAGCGTCTGCTGGATCAACCCGTGCCGTCCACGGGGCACAGTCGCCGCCAGATCTGCCGAATAGCCCTCGACATCACCAGACCCAGGCAGAACCGGTGGAGGTATAAGCAAAGCGCAGAGGTTGGGCAACTACGGGAACAGGCCATGCGAGCTAATGGCACACCCCCAGCCAGGGAGATGTGGAAGCGAATGTGGAAAGCCAGGAAAAAGGACAAGGAAGATTGGCAGCGCAGAGCCCTGCAAGCGTTTCTAGCAGAGGACTGGCAAGCCGTGCGCTCGCTCAAAGCAGCCCGCAGAGCCGCAGAGCCGTCGTCTAGGAAGAGGAGCTCACCACGCAGCAAAACTGGGAACAAAGCATGAGGGACCACTTCGAGGGGATGTTCGCAAAGCCGCGCAACCGGCAGAGGGAACAAGTCTGGAGGCAGCTAGAAAGGAGGTGCAAGGACACGAGATGGAAGCCTTTTAGCAAAGTAGAGCTGGCGTTGCGCACAGCGGCGTGGGCGGGGTCGAAAAGCACCGGGCCAGATGGCGCAAGCTATGAAGCCCTCACAAGGAGATGCGGCGTGGGAATTCGAGAACAATTCAACGACGCGCTGTACAAAGGTCGACTCCCGCCCGAAGGAAAGGCAACCCAAGGAGTAGCAGCCTGCTCCAATAGCAGGGCCGGCTTCTGCTGGGCAGGGTAGCCACCCCGATCCTTGCACAGGCAACCTACTAATTCGCCAGACCAGGTAGACAAGCGCCTGAGCTCATCTTACTCTTGCGAAAAGTCATTAGAATCATTAGAACCAGTAAAGAATGGAACATCCCATCCGCATAGCCAAAATGGACGTCTCCAAAGCCTTTAACAGCGTGTGGCAAACAAGCCTGGCCAACGCGGTGCAAAACAGGCTCCAGGCTGACTGGCCATGAGAAGCGTGGTGACTGTGGACAGACCTGCGCAATGAACAAATGAACCTTGTCGCGCACGGCAACAGCTACCCCATTGCGCAGACAAATGGCGTCCGCCAGGGCGGACATGATAGTCCGGTCATTTTTGCCAGCATCATCGGTGACTATATTTTTGGACCCTGCGTAGGGGTACCTAAAAACCTTGATGGACAGACTTGAGGCTATCTTGGCGATGCGAAACCTTAGCATACATCCAGGGAAAACCAGGTACAGACACACATCCAGTCACGAACAAACCTTGAAAGCAAGTGATGGGAGAGGCGCAGGGCACGATCGTGTGGGGAGCGCCGGTCGTGCTGAAGAACGAAGTGGCAGCGACCTTGTTGGGTGAGATCTCGAGGCGAGCAAAGAATGCGTTTGCAATCCACCGCAAAATGCCGATGTGTGGGTGGCGAAGGCTCTGTTAGTACCCCTGCTGGGTTCGCCGCCAAGACTGGCACCTCCGTCACAGCAGCTGGGTGCTGGCGTCCTCATATCTGGCCATGTGGCCGTGCACGCGCCAGACCGCCTTCAAGATGTTGTAGACAGGTCTGTCGCGCAGGGGTCTGATGTTCCACTCAACCCACGGCTCGAGCGTCCTTCGATTGATGCCCAACATCCATCTGCCTTAGCTGTAGTAGCTGGAGACTGTTCGCCCCCTTCAGCCCACAGGGCCACTGGTGTAATGAAATACAATGCTATGCTCAAGACAGAGCATCTCTTGGAGAAAATCGCCACGCCGTGGCGCGAGGCAGCCCAGCACAGACCCGGCTGGGCGGAAAAGAAGCAGCCTGCACGGAGCGCCTTTACAACAGCAACCGCCCCCACTACGAATGAACGCCTATGGCGCGATGGCCGTGGGACGTGGAGAGCGTTACCTGGACAGTGCCACCCGACACACCCGCCGCCGCACCCTCAACCACACACGGGCAAGCAAACCCGTGTGAACAGCGCATAGAAGGGATCCCAACATCGCAGGCGCAACAGAGGGGACAGATCAGAACAGCGCCGTCGCCGCAAGCCGCGCCCAGGAGAGAGACCAGAGAGAAGAAGACCCAAGACACCTGCGCCTCGAACCGCCCAGTGAAAGCCAGCGTTTTGCGCCAGAGAGCAGCAGTTGCCATCACGCAATGCAGCCAGTTTGGATGTCATGTTGCAGTGAGTCCTGCGCAAGAGCCATTGCAGAAGCTAGCCAGATGCAGTTTGCACCTTCAGCCGCATGAGCCAAGCTCGAGCCGATCTCCAGTCAGGCAGCCGGGAACAGTGACAGTGAACAGCAGATTCTACGGGCGCGACATGCAACAGCCCAATACTCGATACGACATGCCCAAGGAGCCCGCAACCCGCAGCGTAAGAGGTTGGCAGCGCTAGATCGAAGTTGAATACGTGCGTGGGAGGACTGTCTTGTCCGGTAGGTAGCTCCGCAGTCCACCGCAGTGCGCAACGGGAGAGGTGGACCCACTTAGACTCCACACTTGGAAGTTTTGGAGCTGGTCACTGCTGAACAGGCGCGAGAACTGGCGGCCGTAGACACGCACCAGCGCCAACTACCCTGGACGCTGGCGCCATGGCTAGAGGCAAGGGCACAGGCGCTGGCTGGCAGACTGCGCCAGAGACCTTCCGTGGTGCGCTCCAGGACGCGCTTGCCCACACCTCCGCGATCTTCAACGACATTCTGATCCAACGAGGGACCAACGGAAGAAGCGAGACCTCACCAGGAAGAAGAGGAGGAGGCTCAGGAGGGCCCAGCGACAATGGCGCTCATGCAAACAAGCGCCCCTAGAGCTGAAAAGCGGCAGTGGAAAGAGGATAGAGAACGTTTGGCCGCCTTCGCCAAGGAAACCCTACACCATGACACCATGTGCGAACCCGCAGCCGGCACTGGTGGTGTTGGCATGCCTCGGAGCGAACGCGGGGATAGCGAGGATGTGCCTGGACCTGCCACGGGACCTCCTTAATCATTGGAAGGAGCACAGTGACGCCGGGGTTGTGGAGGCAGCCCTGGCGTGCATCGAGAGCACAACCACCTGGAAGCGGTCAAGCGAGCGCTTGATGCATGTCGAAACAGCAGGTTGGACCACATGAAGACCAAAAGAGAGAAAGCGAAAGGGGGCAGCGAGGCCAGCTTACCGCCATCTCCAAGTTCACGGAGCACATCACCAAGCTTTATAGAAATGCAGGGAACCGGACCCCCTTACAGCCCTGCTTGGCCTACGCATACAGCTTCGAGGCTTGAGTCGCCAGCTAAAAGGAAGCGAGGTCCCGCCGCTGGTCTGCCACCTTCACGCCTTGCAGGGAGGACCGCGAATGCCACTGGCTGGACATGGTGCGGTGCAGTCCATTTCGTCTACGAGGTCAGTGATGATGGGGCGGAGAACGCGCAAGGCGGCCAGAAGGAGGGTCAAGGACCGCCTTTGCAGGAAGAAGATGCCGAGGCTCACTGGGGCAAGCCAGCGAGCGCTGGCAACCATCCCGAGGAAGCAGAGCACACAGAGACGGGCCAATCGGGCAACACAAGAGGTAGGTTCGCAGACACAGCGGAGAAGATGATGCATAGCCACCACCGAGAACAAACCGAAGGCGGAGCAGCAAATCGCACAGGCCCCGGGCGAGGCACCTTCCGACCAGGGACAGGCCCAAGCTGCAGCAAAGAGTCGGAGGCTCAGGCAGCGACCAGAAGACGCATTTGGGTGGAAGCAAGCGATGTTCGGGAGCTGCTCGAGGAGGACGAGAGGGTCAGGAATTTCATGCGGAGCATCGCTTCGGATGCCGGTCGACTGCTTGAGATGCAAGTGGTGGAGGCCGACACAGCCGTACAAAGCCCGGGGCCAAGACTTTGAAAACCTAGTGCGGGAGGACATTGAGACGCGGGAATGGGACAACGTGAGAATTCAGACACCTGGAGAAACGGCCTGGAGCAAACCGACCATGGAAGAGTTGGACTTCACCCGGGAGAGGGAGCAGATGGACG